ACAAAAATCTCGTCGTCAACAGAAGGAGGGCTACGAGTTTTCATCTCTACGTGACAGTGTCACGGTCATGACGCATGCGCATTGCTCAGTAATTGGAAATCTCGTACTCTCACTCCGAGTACGACTACGAGTACGAATTACTCGGAGTCGGATCTAAAGGTCCCTATTATTTCTGGCATCAAAACGATTTGGATAGTATCTACTTCATGTAAGACTTGATATAATGTCATAAATTTCCTGGGTAGGGGGCTAGTGAAAAACAGAGTCTCCAGATTTTAAATCTCTAGAGGTTGGCATCTCTGGTTATAATAGTTTGAATGTGAATCGAATCTTTCTTTCTTCCTTGAATTAGGAATCATTATTTTGCATAAAGAAAGCCACCAGACGCCTAGCTGAATCGGTACAGTCAGTTCACTACAAAGCAGTGGAACAGCGGGGTAGAATTTGCGGGCTGGATCAGGTCAAATGAAACTCAGGAAAAGGCTCGGAATCTACCGAATTGTAAGTACTCAGACGCCTTTAATCATTGCATTCACTCTTCTTACGCCCAGAGGCATAGAACAACAACAATCCACGATTGCTTTACATCTCCGGTCCACTCTAACAAAATTCAAATCTCTCCCAGCATATTTCTTCTTTGGAAATATGTAATGATTGCCGGTCATTTTGTGAGTTGAAACTAAATTTGATGAGTGAATAGTCAATCTTTGTTTCTTTGGTTGTTGTTTCTTAATTACGAAATTGTTTTCGTTCATACTGAATTAAATCAATAAAATACTTTCGAAAGTTGTTATATAACAAACGTTACAGTGTGTAAAAAAGATAAAGAAATCAGTGATGTCAAAAATGTAAATTCCCTGTACCTTCTTTCTTTCTCACAAACATTAGAAAACTGGCCACTAGTTTTGAAATATGCTTTATTTTTCCCTTATATTTTCCCTTAAAAAAAAAAATAACAAAAGCTCTAATTTGCAAAAGAAGCCGGGTTAAGATAACCCAGGGTTAGTGCGAGATTTAAATTAAGATTTGAAAGCTTAAAAAGCATTTCAGTTTTAATTCTTTTTGTCTACAAGTTGATGATCGGAAGCTCTAAAAATAAGAGACAAAATTATCGAGGAAAATGCTTTTGAACACAAGAAAAGGAAACCCGGGTTAAATTTAACCCTGGGTTAAGCGCTAATCGGCCTTCGAACAACTGGGCCCTGAAGGTTTCTGGTCATAGTAGTACAATGACGTCATCATGCAAATGCCCATTCACCCTTATGATTAAAAAATGTTCTTAGATAAAACGATAAAAAATGATGCTAGGATAAGAAATCAATACAGTAACTCATATGTTTACTTACACTGTACATTACTAATAGTATTTGACAATTGTTTAAATTTATATTAATTAATTTTGAATGTTGATTAACCTTCTCGTAATTTATAATGTATGGTATTTCTCAAATAAATTTTAATAACATTTCAAGAAAATTTCAGGCTGATTTCTCACTACGCACCCGGTAAATGACAAATTGATCAGCCTGAATCCCGCAATCATAGGTTATTATATGGGGATGTTAACTAATAACAGTGGTTAAATTGCTACAAGTAGTATTTGAACTAAGTGTATCATTTCCAAATGAAGACGTCTCGAGCTATTAAGGCAACGGAATTAGAAACCGAACGGCTACAGCGCCGCCTAAAATAAGCAGAGATATTACGAGAGGGATAAGTCGCTTTACAATAAGAGCTCTCTTTTGTGCTGAGGTAAGACTGCCACTTCTTTCTATATTAGCTGTTGCTTCTGATTCAATCTCTTCTTGACGACTATCTCTCTCTGAAGTGCTCCCATCATTTGACAGTAAAGCAAGTCGAAACTGAGAGTTATTGGCATCCATGTGATTCAGAAATGGAAGTGACGAGGTTTTGCTGATCCAGTTTGCAAGAATCAAGTCTGAAAAAAAAAAAACATATAAACTGTCTCTGCTCTTTTTGTGCGAAGTTCGTGTTTCATTAAAAGCGGAAGACACCCCACCAAAACGATGGACGACCTTTAAGTAAACGNTTCAAGAAAATTTCAGGCTGATTTCTCACTACGCACCCGGTAAATGACAAATTGATCAGCCTGAATCCCGCAATCATAGGTTATTATATGGGGATGTTAACTAATAACAGTGGTTAAATTGCTACAAGTAGTATTTGAACTAAGTGTATCATTTCCAAATGAAGACGTCTCGAGCTATTAAGGCAACGGAATTAGAAACCGAACGGCTACAGCGCCGCCTAAAATAAGCAGAGATATTACGAGAGGGATAAGTCGCTTTACAATAAGAGCTCTCTTTTGTGCTGAGGTAAGACTGCCACTTCTTTCTATATTAGCTGTTGCTTCTGATTCAATCTCTTCTTGACGACTATCTCTCTCTGAAGTGCTCCCATCATTTGACAGTAAAGCAAGTCGAAACTGAGAGTTATTGGCATCCATGTGATTCAGAAATGGAAGTGACGAGGTTTTGCTGATCCAGTTTGCAAGAATCAAGTCTGAAAAAAAAAAAACATATAAACTGTCTCTGCTCTTTTTGTGCGAAGTTCGTGTTTCATTAAAAGCGGAAGACACCCCACCAAAACGATGGACGACCTTTAAGTAAACGAAGTGGTACACAATCCACATATTGTATCCGCTGAAAGCTATGGGGATGCCTCATTGGTGGGGGCGGGGGGTGACTCCGGAGGACGGAGAAGATCGAAGGTTCGGAAACCACGCCTCATCACATACTTTTTACGAGACTATCTTACAAAGGTCCCATAACCTCAACATTTTCAATCATGAGATTGTTATCAGAGGCCTAAGAGGAAATTTCTCATGAGTTTTATCCGCTTCTTCTTACATGTGATGGTGTCTTGAGTATGACTAAAAATAATCATCGCACCTTTGTGTTTTTTGGCGGAGTGTCCAGCTGGATCTCCATTTAACAAGTCCTCAGAGGTTGAAGCTCTCACAGTCTTGGCAGCCGTTCTTCGCTGTGCCTGCAAAAGAAGGACCATCGTCTGAATAAGGAATTTCAAACAAAACCCACAACTGATAGTTCAGTTTAAATAACTCTTCAACTCCCAAAAGTGACAAACAACAATTTTCTCCGAACAAAATCAATACATAATCATGAGAAAGGGTTGTGAGAAATAATAAAATTATCACCTAAGAGAAAATGCTTTGATCTTCTACCAAATTCTCTCAACTTATTCTCCATGAGACAAATTTGCCGCCATGTTGAAATGCGTCCCCCATAACAGTCCCACAATGCACCTTCACAACCATCTCGACCCGGATACCAGAGCTAGTTCAGCTAAATTTTGCTACCCTACACTAGACTAAACTCCCCTGATCCCCCTATCTTAGAGCAGCTTTTAGGCTGAGTTGCGTAAATTTAAACTTGCCGATTTAATTTTTTTATAGTTTTGATGACAATTCCCGGTTTCCCTAGTCTACAATAAAATTTTCAACCTATAGAGTACTAAAGTGTGACGTCATAAAAAATTAAATTTGTGAAATTACGGGATTTGCCAGGATGTTCTAAAACAACATCCCAAACGCCTACTTGCCAAAAACTAGCATTGTGGGGCAAGTTTTGTGTGAGATATTAGCCCAGTTATGCTCTGATGACTCCATACAAATCCCGCTAAATTTGACTTGGGTCTAAACGTTTAGACCCAAGTGATATTGGAGGTATATGTGGGGGACCCCAGGTATGTGAGATAACCCGCTTGGATGGAGTAACCCACCTGTCCGTATTATTTTAATAATCACGTCTACATGATAGCTGGGTGACCGGCCAAGATGAGGTGCCCGGTCTGTCCGACCAGGTAACGCCCTCAGCCAGGCCAAATTTTGCCAGGTAAACGTTTCCAGTGGGGTAACCGAGGACGGATACGAGTTAACATGTTTTGTTAACTGCCTTTTGCGGAGGTTTTCCATCTCATTAAAAGTGACAATAGAAAGCGACAGCACTGAGAGATTGCAGCAAGAGCAACAGCTGAGAGTAGAAGAGCATTAACCGCCAAAACACGTGGTTTGCCCGCTACCATTTTTTACGAGCTTAGCGACCATTCAACAATCTTGAGAAAGTGCACCTCAGATGGCGGGGTTGTAAGATTGAATGTAAACCCGGGTGATATCTTTTATCCCGTCTGCGAAGGTTTCCTCACGAACCTGGGGTCAGCCACCTCCATGTACACATCAGGCCCTAAATGTAATTTCCTTTTACGCCACAGCTACAAATTATAGTTTGGTTCTCTATCTCCAGATTCTTCTGAGTTAAGACTCAAGAAGAAGTTACAAAACTGTTAAATATTAGAGGACGGATGTTGGGCTTAAGACTTCTCAATATCCTGCAAAAAGGCATCACTTACTAATTCAGCTTGTTTGTCCCAATCTGTTCTCCACAGAAGAAATAAATATAAACAAGCCTGAAATGAAACAGGGAAAGATGAGATAAAATATTGTCAGTAGTGTAAGCACAAGTAAACAAGTAAAAGAGCTATGCCATGCATTCCAAACTTCTATTTTTTATCATACTGCTAACAATCCTTCCGACAACATTAAAGTAATTACTAGCAAAAACCGTGGACGACGATCCTGCTGGTTGTCAACGTTGGATCTCTAGAAAAGAGATCTAATCGGAAAATATGAAAAACAAAAAAAAACGAGAAGTCTAAAGCCTACTGCAAAGCTGACATAGCAACGTGTATTGCTTTTTTTGACAACAATATTTCGGCTTGTTACACCAGCCTTCTTCAGGCTGTGCAGGTTTACAGATGTTAGCGAAGCTATGATAGAACTATTACTCAGTATATTTTTTAGATGGAGAGCGTCGCAACAGAAATTGTTTAAAAGGGAGAGAAAATTAATAAGGATAAAGATTACAATTCGTCACGGGGGTTTAGGCCATTAGGTTCAAGAGTCATGGCCTTATCTATCAAATGTGACTCCCTCGCCTTACGGACTAAATCATGTGAGGAATGAATTTTCTGTAATGAAATAAACTGCATGGAAACAGTCGTAGGTTTAGAATTAATCTTAGTTTTGTCAACTGGACGTCTGTCCTCGAGACATCGCTTACTGAGTGTGTTTTCACGCCTTTACACACAATACGTTACACATTTCAGCTGGACACCCAAAAAGGAACGATCACTTGAAAGTGGACTTTCACAAAGTCCTTCGTCCGAATTAATATGGCTCCGGACGAAGGTCGACCTCTAGCGACTTCGTCCCTCGCTTGGCCGTTTCGCGGCCTATAGCTCGCTCCGCTCGTTAAGGTGATGTTACACGGGACGATTCCCATGACGATTTTTAGTGCAACATAGCGTTGCAATGCTGGAACAATGTTGTGGCCATTCGAAGCAATGTCGCAACAATGTTGCGAATCGTCTCGTGTTATATCACCTTTAAGAAACTCGTAGGTCGACTTGTAGCAAGTCTACCACGAAAGCAGCAATAGGCCGGGAAAAGCTGCTTATACTTACTAAACTTTACGGAAGTGAAATGGGAGTCGTCATGAGGCATGCCTACCTGAAGAAATACTCCAGTTGAAATACCAATCTACAGACCTTTAAGACAACAAGAAAAAATGCAAAATATAATTATAATGATAATGATAATAATAATACTAATAATGATTTTTTTTAAGGATAAGTAATAATTTTATTCAACTTTAAAAAATAAGTACATAATTTACAGAAATATTTGGAGTAAGAATTAAGCACTATATAACATTAAGAATAGTATAAATAATAAAAATAGGAATCACTGTGTCAATAACGATTTTCTTGGGGCTCAGATGCGGTCACTAAATCTTGCAGGCAGTCCTGAGTTTTAAAGTAAGTCATTACCAATCCGTCTCTGATATTAAAAAAGAAAACAAGTTAAAAAGAATTAAAAATCTCGTATTCCTAAATTCCTAATTCTTTAATAATAATAATAATAATAATAATAATAATAATATTTTTTTAAATAAAAAGCATCAAAAAGTTAATAAATAAATAAAAAAAGTAATAATAATAATGATAATAATAATAATAATAATAATAAATAAGTAATAGTCAACTCCCACCCTACAGACAGCTCGCTATTGCGGACATTCCGTTAATATGAACGGCGACCGGGCCCCCAACAACAAGGACAGGAATTTGACTAAAATACTCACCCCAAGTAAGGGAATATGGATTCCGGAATCTGGAAAATTATTGCTTGTGGAATCAGGAATCTTGCGCTTTAGAATCCAGAATAAAGCTCAAGGAATCCGGAATCCAAATTCCACTAACAAAGACTGGAATGCAGTTCCTGGAATCCGGAATCGACAGCGTGGATTCTGGAATCCAAGACTTCCTTGGATTCCCTTACATGAAGCGAAAAATACTTTTGTTCATTTTATACGGAAGCACTGCCCTTTTTGAGGTCCAAAACAACAATTTTACTATAACGTACATCAATCACATAGAATCAAAATTTTTTTTTTTCCGTTTTGCATCATCGCTTTGTCGTTTTGGTTAGATTTACGCTTTAATCAAAATTCCTCAGTAGTTATAATAAATCCCATCAGAAGTCAAGAGCTTCTGTTTCCGTGCTCCAAGAGTTTATTCCATGAACATGTCTTTTTTACCTGCGCTTTCATGAAAGACAAAAAACATTAAAGTGATCCCAACGGAAAGAGCCACGAAAAATGATAGAAAATTGATCAGCACTCCTATCCTCTGTCGGCCAGCCCCTCGTACAATCCCACTACAGACACCCTGAAAAGAAAGGTCACCAATGCAAACATGTGCAAATGCATATCGTTAATACAAACTCTTACTCAAACTTCTCCTATAAAATCAGTTCATTAAGTTACAATGGTGGAGAAAAGTTCTTGAGGCAATGTGGGCATGCAAATTTTCTGCAACCACAGTGATATCAGGGGCACCCAACGTCAATTTTGGAAAATATCTGTTCGGAAGACGATTTGAGATCTAGAATTTTCGGAACATTTGTTGTGAAATTTCTTGCTTGCCTGCCTCTCCTAGGATTTTCGAACATATATGGTATAATTGTTCATTTCTAACGGATTTTTACTCTAAAAAGGTAACCAAGAGTTTTCGGGAGCCTTTTTTCTGGCTAAAATTTTCGAAAAGGTAAGTTTTGATCCCTATAATTTTCGGATCACTAGACTTTCAGCTAGGAAATCTGAACAGATGAAAAATTTTTAGGGGATAAAAATATGCCTATATCTACCGTTTAAATACTAAAATACGTTCAACAATGCTATGTTTAAGTGGTTTTGAACTATATTCTCGTTGAGTGCCCCTGGTGAAATTTCCCTAAATTTATTTTTCTCCCAAAGTTCCAACATGAATTTATGTCAGCAAGCTGTGGGAGCTAAAATGAATCGAAATTTCGTCTTAAAAAGGCTAGCATTAAGCTTTACAGCGAGTGTCTGGAAAACTATGCAAAATGGACTATTCTCCCCTTAAATGGTTAAATGGATATCAGCCCAATGTACTGTTAATAACAGTGGCAACAAAAATCAGACTTACTAATCAACTCGACTGTACACTTATTACCCAAAGCCTTACATTGGTCAGTTCAAAGTAAGCAGACAGTCACATGTACCTGAATTCCATCAAAGAAAAACATGACTGAAACGATAAGAATGTTCCTCTTGTACACAACTAAAACATCACTGAAAGAAATGAAAATGTCTCCGTGTAAAATTTAAAAAAAAAACACACACAAGACGCGTACAGAGGTAAAAAACAAAATGAATGGTCGCCTATTTTATCAGGAATTTTCAGCGTTTAATAACCAATGAAATTGATGATTCAAGCCACACAAACAAAATACATACTAATTATTGTAACTGGCACTTGCTATGCATTTCTCTCTCATCTGATCTGACTGTTTTTTTCCTAGTAACACAAACACATCTACCAAATAATTCCGATAGTTCTCCACAGCTTGTAACGGCGGCCAAATCCTTCGCTAAAGAACTCGAGCATAACAACTGTTTGGTCAAACTCGCGCGGGGACGTCTTGATTGCATTGAGCTTATTTTAAAAAAAAGCCTATAAAAAAGCTTACAAAAACGACCTCAATGGTACACGTGCCTCGCCAATAAAGGAACATCATCTTCTTCAGACGGCATTCAAGTCAGATAAAATTTTTTCGCTTTTCTTACTTGCTGAACCACTTTTGTTTACGGTTTACTCTTACTTGATGAAGTCGTCAATTGGAGCAGGAGTCAACCCATTTCGTTTCTCTTACCGTACAGCACTTTCTTAGTGTAGGACTGGCAAACCAGTTTTCAAATGCTAGGTAAAAGTTGGGAAAATACCCGGTAGTATAAACTCCTCGAGGTAAATGCTAGAAAAATATAACCAATTTTGATTTTTGTTGTGACCGGAGATTTTAACACTGATGAGCTCGGCGACCTGTCAAACAGGTTTGCTCTTACTGTATACAAATAACCAACTGTACAAAATGTCGTGGGAAATTTGCACTAATTTCCTGTATTTCCTGTTTAATAACTAAAATGCAAATAGATAATAAACGCGTATATGGTATTTACAAACCTGCTGCTGGTGAAGACACGACCACTTATATCTCCAAGTCCAAGGAAGACCGTAAGTATAATAAGTTCTACAGAAACTGTCAGATCAAAGCAAAAATTAATGAATACATATGGAAATTCAAAGGATTGTTGTTAAGCAGTAAGGTAGTGAGTACGTCCTACGTACATGAACCTAGTCGAATAGCCATAGCTCCTACAACCATAGGCACAGTCTTCAGCCTTGGTGTCTCGATGCGGATTCGGTACTCCCCAAGGGCACATCGAGACACCAAAGGCTGGAGATTGAGCCCACTGTAACCATCGGTTGTATCTGAGTTCAGGTTCCAGGTGTGGAGCATCAAGACTATACTAACCGGAACCCAGTTGTTCAACAGCTGAATAGCACTGTTCNAGCAGACAGTCACATGTACCTGAATTCCATCAAAGAAAAACATGACTGAAACGATAAGAATGTTCCTCTTGTACACAACTAAAACATCACTGAAAGAAATGAAAATGTCTCCGTGTAAAATTTAAAAAAAAAACACACACAAGACGCGTACAGAGGTAAAAAACAAAATGAATGGTCGCCTATTTTATCAGGAATTTTCAGCGTTTAATAACCAATGAAATTGATGATTCAAGCCACACAAACAAAATACATACTAATTATTGTAACTGGCACTTGCTATGCATTTCTCTCTCATCTGATCTGACTGTTTTTTTCCTAGTAACACAAACACATCTACCAAATAATTCCGATAGTTCTCCACAGCTTGTAACGGCGGCCAAATCCTTCGCTAAAGAACTCGAGCATAACAACTGTTTGGTCAAACTCGCGCGGGGACGTCTTGATTGCATTGAGCTTATTTTAAAAAAAAGCCTATAAAAAAGCTTACAAAAACGACCTCAATGGTACACGTGCCTCGCCAATAAAGGAACATCATCTTCTTCAGACGGCATTCAAGTCAGATAAAATTTTTTCGCTTTTCTTACTTGCTGAACCACTTTTGTTTACGGTTTACTCTTACTTGATGAAGTCGTCAATTGGAGCAGGAGTCAACCCATTTCGTTTCTCTTACCGTACAGCACTTTCTTAGTGTAGGACTGGCAAACCAGTTTTCAAATGCTAGGTAAAAGTTGGGAAAATACCCGGTAGTATAAACTCCTCGAGGTAAATGCTAGAAAAATATAACCAATTTTGATTTTTGTTGTGACCGGAGATTTTAACACTGATGAGCTCGGCGACCTGTCAAACAGGTTTGCTCTTACTGTATACAAATAACCAACTGTACAAAATGTCGTGGGAAATTTGCACTAATTTCCTGTATTTCCTGTTTAATAACTAAAATGCAAATAGATAATAAACGCGTATATGGTATTTACAAACCTGCTGCTGGTGAAGACACGACCACTTATATCTCCAAGTCCAAGGAAGACCGTAAGTATAATAAGTTCTACAGAAACTGTCAGATCAAAGCAAAAATTAATGAATACATATGGAAATTCAAAGGATTGTTGTTAAGCAGTAAGGTAGTGAGTACGTCCTACGTACATGAACCTAGTCGAATAGCCATAGCTCCTACAACCATAGGCACAGTCTTCAGCCTTGGTGTCTCGATGCGGATTCGGTACTCCCCAAGGGCACATCGAGACACCAAAGGCTGGAGATTGAGCCCACTGTAACCATCGGTTGTATCTGAGTTCAGGTTCCAGGTGTGGAGCATCAAGACTATACTAACCGGAACCCAGTTGTTCAACAGCTGAATAGCACTGTTCGCCAGGGCCTAGTTGTTCGAAGGCCGATTTGCGCTTAACCAGGGGTTAAATTTAAACCGGGCTTCTTTTTCTTGTGTTCAAAAGCATTTTCTCGGATAATTTTCTGTGCTATTTTTAGAGCTTCCAATCATCAACTTGTAGACGAAAAGAATTAAAGCTGAAATGCTTTTTAAGCTTTCAAATCTGAATTCAAATCTCGCACTAACCCTGGGTTATCTTAACCCAGCTTTGAACAACTCGGCCCAGATAAGTCACTATCAGGCGGATAACGCAATTGGTTTCTTGCTAATACTTATCCGCTGAATAGTGACTAATCCAGTGGATAACGCTATATCTTGATTGAACAACTGTGGCAAGAAAGTCATAGGCTCGACTACTATTGGTAAACTTGAATTTTCTTCTTCCGAGTCGCCTCTTTTACTAACCAAAACGCGTTAATAGCTTGCTTTAATAAACTATACGGGGAAACAAAGAAAACAGAGAAATAAGAAAAGGACAGGAAAAGCGTATATATAGTAAGCTTCGGTCCCTCGTTTACCCCAGGGATGATGAGTGAGCAATATTCGCGAGTGCGAGTGAAAATCGCGGCACCTTCCTCGCAGATGGCGATTTCCACGCGCACTCGCGTCTTTCGCTCGCTTTACTATCTCTAAGGTAAATGAGGGGACTACTTGTAGTCTAATATTTTAAACCCAGTTGTATTAAACGCGTTTACCTATTAATCCCAGAGCCACTTTAATCGTCTTTTTTACTGCCTTTGGGTTGCCAGCACCAAGGAAATTTCCAACACGAACCCCAGCAGCAACACTCAATCCCAGTGGTATCTACAATAGACACACTCAGATTTCAATTCAGTGCCAGAGAGGGGGTGCGTAGGAGGACTGTTGCAAAACACCAAAGTGACTTCCAGGTCTCGGTTGTTCAAATGTTGGATAACGATATCCACCGGATAAATACTAACAACAACAACAACTAAGAACAACAACAATGTATTTATTTAAAAAAATATAAAGGTTACAATTTTATGTCCTGTAAATAGCTATAATGCTAATCTAGGCAGGACAACACTTTAAATAAAGAAGTTATTAAATTACATAAGAAAGAAGAAAAGAAAAGAAATACAAAAACATACAGATAGAAACACCTTACATATAAATTCAAGTACAGGGGATTTTGTTATTTGAAAAGGACTAAAATTACAGGTGGAGGTATTTAACAATTATTCCTCTCGCCCTCATGGCTCTGAGTCAATAGCCCATGAGGCTAAAGGCCGAATGGGATATTGACTCAAAGGCCATGAGGGCGAGAGGAATAATTGTTTTAGTAAAATGCAACTAGTTGGTCAAAAATATCGAGAATAAAAAAAAATTAGCTTGTTAAAGTTAGACTTTAATCCTTTTTTGCCGCCAAAAAGCCCGCGCTTTTCGCCACTAGGGGGCTATATTATATATAGCCCAGTAGTAGCTCAACCAATCAGAACGCAGCATTGATAACAGACCACTAGTTGGATTTTACTAAATACAACATATCAGGTTAACTTCACAAAATATTCTCTTAAATAATTCACATTCAAATAATTATCTTCATTACCTAGAACATTAAGGAGTAGGTATTTAGTTTTTTTACGAAAATTAGGTATGTTGAAGGTCTTAACAGAAAGTGGAATAGAATTCCAGATAGACACACCAATTCTAGTAAAAGATTTTTTCATTTTTTCAGTTCTAGAGAATTTGACAGAGAAACATTCTTTTGCAGATAATCGTGTATTATAATGATGTTTTGTATTGATTTTCGCAAACTTATCGAGAAGACTTTTAGGAGCTGTCTTAGCATGAACGTCATACATTAAATAGCTTAACTGTTGAAAGAACAAAGACTGCAAAGGAAGGCAGTTTGATTCAATAAAAAAAGGGATTGCATGGTCTCTGGGTTTAGAAAAAATAAATCAAACGCAGAGCACGTTTTTGCAGAATAAGTATCTTATTGAGGTAGGTCTGTGGACAGTTGCCTCATGCACAGATACCATAATTTAAGTAAGGAGCAATAAGTGCATGATATAAATTCAAAAGAAGATGCCGTGGAATGTAATGCCTCATTTTAGCAATTATTCCAACCAATCTACTAATTTTGTGACAGACAAAGTCAATATGATGCTTCCATGATAGTTCAGAATCAATCACTATACCCAAATATTTAACAAAGTCCTTCATCTCTAGAATTACTCAAGTATTTAAAGTTGGATTAAAAATCTTAATTTGAGGAATGAAAGGTATTGTTTTTTGGCGCGGACGAAAAATGACATAATTAGACTTTTTGACGTTGAGCGTTAGTTTGTTAGCATTAAGCCATTCACTTACTTTCTCAAGCTCATTGTTGACAGTTAGTTCAAGAGTACGTTAGTTGTCATTTGCATAGGTTAGACTTGTATCATCTGCGAATAAATAAAAAGTAAATTCTTTGGAAGATTTATGGATGTCATTAATAGAGCGGTTTTCACTTGACTGTCGAAAGGGATTGGTTTTGGTTTTGGTTTTGGTTTTACTACGCCCTTTGGTTGGCTAGTGTATTTACTTTGGTTTTGGTTTTACGACAGTCAAGTGAAAACCGCTCTATATAACAAAGTTCACTAATCCAGCGGATCAGTATTAAGGAAACCCTTGCGTTATCCCGCAGCTTTTGAACAACTGGGCCCAGAAGAGGGATCGAAAGACCCCTTACTGGAATTTTTCTAACATAGAGTGGCGATAGATATTTAGATCCATGAAAAAGAGTAAGATTTAAAAAAAGTTATCCTTACCATAAATACAAAGGCTGCCCAACTAAAAAGAATTCCAAACGATGCCAACTGCACTTCACCAAGGGTCCCTTAGAAAGAAAACAACGATAGCACTAGTTAATACAAAAAACAACAACAACAACTGCAGACACCAACAGTTACATGTAATCTCTCATTCACTACCAAGCTTAAAGCTTATCACCTATTTTTAATTATCACCATAGGGTACGCCTCCAACATTGCTGCATGATCCTTAGAGTGAAAAAGGTCACTTATGAACCTCATATATGACATTTTTCCACAGCTAGGTTCGAAAGAGCTGCGCCCAGTGTTTGGAAGATCTGTCGTTCAAATCCTGTCAGCTACGGTGCTGTACCTGTTGTCTTCTCCCATGTTCAAATAATATCGATCACTATATCTTTCTCAATTTACATTTCCATCTAGATTTTTGAAAACCAGGTTAGCAAATATTCTGGAATTACACAAAAAGTCTCAGTAACGCATGAAAAAGAACGCATATAAAGCGTTAATGGGCTGCCTGTGGCACCCCAATTAAAGTATGGGCTTTCTCCGTTGAAGAAAGACAAAATGGCAGACGGCTCACCCAGATCGTGTTGCGTGGTCCACTCCCCCTTCAATGGGGCTGGGTTTTGCAGGGAGGAGACGGGTCAAGTCATCATACACACGCAGCAACAATAACAAGAACCCCTCCAGGGAATAATAGAATTTATCATATAACCACCAATGAAATACCAGGTGAGCTTTCGCGCGAAAACTTGATATCTTCACATGTGAAAATAACATGTTATCTAATTCACATGTGAAAGTATCACCTTTGCTATGGCTACATAATAAATCGCGCCTTTCACACCGAAAAAACTCAGTATTAAAGTGAAATGGTTTCGTATTTCATTGGTGTTTATATAATAAATAGAACATTACATGGCCGCTTGTAGATACGAAATTTCTCTTCTCGTGTTAAAAAAAATATATTTCACTCGCTCGCTGCGCTCACTCGTGAAATATTTTTCAACACTCGAAGAGAAATTTCGTATCTCGGCGGCCATGTAATACCTTTCCGCGAATCTTTCAGCTTGTTATGATCTTATCACATTATTAAAGTGCATGCAATGGTTGATAGTGGTTGGGTTTGAGCTTGTTGACCTCACTAGTTGAGAGACCAGCACTTTACCAAATAAGCTATCAACCTTATACACTGGTGCATTGTATGACTACGACTGAA